ACCGAGTTATAAACTGAAGATGTCTGCTTGCTGTTAAGTGTTGGACAATCTCTCTCAAGCTTGATACCTTTCTCTTGGTAAGCAGAAAACAACGTAGGGGCAAGTAGATGGTTCAGCTGGGCTGAATTTCTCTCAGTTTGAGACCATTCAGAATAGCTGAGTGAGCCCTAACAAGGAGGTCTGTCCTGGGCAGAGCTGTGTGGCTGTCACAGTGCAGGCTGGTGCCTCGGGACCAAGCTGAGCCCCTGAACTCATGTGATGCTGCTTTTCTTCTCACGTGGAGTCTTGTCAGTGTCTCTGGTATACAGAGATCAAAGTTGCCATTGAAGTTTCGCAGCGTGAAATGAAACCTGTTTCATGAATTTCAATTTCTCTTTCTGGCCTGCCACCCCCTTCCCCTTCTCACATCCTGCAGGGTTAGGTATTTTAGTCTCTCAAAATTTTCATTTTATGCCCTTTTATTCTATTTTTACAGCTGCTTGGGTGAAATGGTTTTCTCCTAGGAGGCTGAATGTAGTTGCAGGTGAGATCAGATAGCAGTCGATGGGCAGCCTGCTGCTGATTCAGAAGTAAAATAGGATTCATATGAGGGCAGCAGAACAAGTGAAACTAAGATTGTAGTGTCTGGGTGTTCTGGTTGTTTTAATCTTGTTGAAGACCCCTGCAACAGCCTGTACTGCAGGATGGCAGCACAGTGGGCAGAGGCCATGCTCTGTCCTCCTTCTGTGGGGCTGTAGTTTTGACTGTTCTCTGTTCAGCTGCTGATTTATGGGATGTGTAGGATTAGACTCTTCACATCTTGCTCCCCTGTCTTTTCAGATCTGGTGGAAACTGGCCGGCTGCTTGTGAGGGGGTAAAGGCACGTCTCAGTCTGCAGGTCTCCTTGGCTTAGCATGCTCCTTAGGCTGGCTGTGGATTAGAATTGAATCACAGAGGGCTTGCTGTCTAAGATGAAGCATAAAAGATGTTCCTGTCCCAGAAAACTTCTGGAACTGGAGCACAAAGTGAAGTGACTGAGGGCTTCAGGTATAGGAGAGATTTGGATCTTAACAGTAAGATGATGGAAGTACAAATCTTGGACCTCTTAAATTAGTTTCAGTTACCTGATTGGTTTTAATGTCTGGGATTTGACACATCAGGTATTTTTGAAATTGGAAGTTGATTGTAGAGCATCCAGTCCCTTCTCATTGCCAGTACTTGTTCCTTTTCCTTTCAGTATGCATTTCTTTCTTCCTATCTAATTATACATATCCCCAGTGACTGCTTCTTTTTTGATACCCTCAGTAAATGTTCATATTCTAAACCAGTCGCCTCAAGTTCTGCTGCTTATTTGCTCTGGGGATGAACCCTGACTCCTCACCTTCAATTTGGGATAAGGGATGCGAGTAATGGAAAACAGAAGGACATCTTTACAAAATGAGGGACGGTGCTGGTCTGGTGCAATTTAGTTTAAAATTCAGAGCATTAGTTTGTGTTTCTGTCATGGCTTTATTCCCTCTCTTGTCTCTTTTACTGGGAGAAGAGAAGCAGGAATGAATTCCTTTCTAACCAAGCTTTGGAAATTCGCCCAAACCAGTGCTCAGCCCCTTGGGAATCAGCCCTGTGGCTGCACAGGAGTTAACTTCTATGCTGGAACTCCTTTTGTATCTGCCCAGCTACAGATGTGAAAAAGGAAAAGCAGGTACCAAAGGCAAATGGAGCAAGAGCCAAAAGAAATGCAGTCTCTTTGGTGTCACTCCTGTATCCAAGCAGGGAAGAAGATGAAAGGCTGTGTGTATGCTTCAGTAGCCTTCTCTCTTCTTGTTCCAGGTATCATTTTGCCCCCTGAGGAGCAGAGGCACAGGGAAGCTGTGACTAGTTACTCTTGTTTGCTTATGTTCATTTGGAAGAGATGAGAGCAGAGCTGCCTGTGCTGCTTACGGCAAAGGAAATAGGTCTCAGGGGAACAATTAATTCTGCTTGGCTATTTCTGAGCCAGGTGAAACCATAGAAGGAACCTGTGTCCTCCCCACTGTCTGAAAGGGAGGTATTTATTTATTTTACTTTTTAATGCACCGCTGACAATTTATGGTGTGGGCCTGAATGAATTTTTAATGGAGAATTGATGGAAGAAAGGTGTATAACATGGGAGATTAATAGAAGAGGTTATTGGACTTGAAAAAGAAAAGGAGGAAAGTGACAGAGAGCTGATATATTAATTAACTTCTCCCTGCCTGTGCCGTGATTGCACAGACACAAGGATTGAGTGCCAGAAGGGGAATCTGGTTGAAAGCAAAGCGATTACAGTCTTGTGTTAGTGGTGAAATGACAGGACTTCCGTATTCTTGCAGCCTGAATAATCCGGGCTGCTGTTTGCAACACAAAGCAGAGCATATTTTAATTAAGGCGTTTTGCAGAGCCGTGACCCAATGTGTTGGATAATAAGAATAATAACGATACATTATTTAAAATATAAATAATAAGAAGCAGCAAAATAAGAAATGGTAGATGTAAATATAATAATCATAGAATGGTTTAAGGCTTCTGCCCCTTAGCCTGCTGCTTTAAGTGATCAGGCAGTTCAGATTCAAACAAAGGACCAAATGTGCTTTTATCTTGCTGATGTATCAGGCAGGGGATTGTGGGACCCTTGGGTGGGCGTGTGGGCAGGGTCCCCTTTCTCTGCTGCTGGGTGGTTGGGCACAGCTTTGCCTTGCAAAGAAGGGCTCTGCTCCTGGAGCGCATTAACACCCTCAAAGGATGCCTGTGAATGTCAGCAATGCGTTTCTCTCCCTTTTGTGAATCCTGGCAATCTATTAATTGTGCTGCCCAAGAGCAGTGTCGGGGGAACAAAGCAATCAGTGCTACCATCTGCTGTGAGCAGGCTGGCCGTGCTGCAGGGTGGGAGGGCTGCCTGTTACCCTCCTGTCTGTTGCTGACCCCTCGCTTGTGTCTGCACGTCCTGGAAATAAGTGGTCGGAGTGTCAGACTGATGGAGAAAGAGTAGGTTGGGTGAAGGCAGAAAGGTAGCTGGGTCACAGTCTCTTGGGAATGAGCCAAGGACCAGAGATTTCTGATGGAAGCAAGACATGATGATTCTGAGAGAGCTTGTATTATACTAAACCAGTTTTAAAAATGAAACATCTCATATCTCCAGTGTTACACTTGTCACTGTTTCAGGAAAAATACACAGTTGTTTCATTTGGGGGTGCTGCAGTTTTCCTCTAACAGCAACTGCTGAGCTTCAGGTTGGCAGCAGGCAGGGAAATGCTGTGACTTTGCTTATGCACTCGTATCTCATCAGCATCTGGTATGAGCTTCTGACCATTACATGCAAGCTTAGTTTAGTTAATCTGATGTAATAAATACATCAGAAGTAACCCATGATAGCCAGCTGCACGAGTGTTGAGGAGCAGGTCTGTTCCCTCTGATAATGGACGTGCAGTATCCTTGGAAGATCAGACCGGGTTCCTTTTGTCGCTCGTCTCTTGTAAAGCAGTTGGCCTCTGTGGTTTTTCTTTATATTTGTTCATAATATTTGGTTCTAAATGACCGAAGGGCAAATTGTCCATTTGATTCAGAACATGGCTCATTTAGCAGTGGAAAGGGGGGAATAAATGCATATTCCCTTTATGAAGTGCATCCTGAGAGGTTGTACAGCTGCTTACTGGTGTGTTGTGGTGTTTTTCTGCTCAGTGCTTGTTCAGGGAAGCTGTGTGTCTCACGTTAGGACATGAATGCTTAGTTTCTGCCATGACAACCTCCCCAGTACCTCATGCAGCAATGACCCTCTTCCTGCATAGGTCATGGGCTTGTAAGCTTGTGCTTATGTAAGAAAAAGTAAGAAAAAAGTCAGATCAAGTTGTTGTGTTTAATGCTTTGAAGATGTCTGCTGGAAGAAATGCTGATGAAGCCATAGTGTGTACATATGGCTTACATCGAGTAGTAGGTACCAAGCACGAGCCTCCCTGTGCAATCAGTTAAGCAGTGGAGCAGATTGCACAGGGAGGTCATGCTGTCTCCATCCTGAGATTGAGATGTTTAAAGCAGACTGAGTGAAGCCATGAGTTACCTGGTCTGGCCTGGTCTTGAGGAGGAGGCTGGACATGGCCTCCAGGTGTCCTTCAATGCCTGAATGTTCTTGTGATCCTATTAGATTGTGAGCAGCTTTGCAGAAGGGAAGAAACAAATCTCCTTGCCACCACCTCCTATATGAATTGGTTGGTCAGCTGATCTGCTCTTCAGTTGGATTCCTTGTAGAAAAGCCACACCATTGGAAAAGGCAGTGACTTGTGATCATGTACACACTGATGCCAAGGACTGAACAGGCCAGATTGTAGGCTGCTTTCTTTCTGCTGCAGTGCAGTAATGCTGATGTATATTAAAGGCACTGAGTGTGCTGCACCACCAGCACAGTGGAATAGACCCGTTAATTGCTTGAGCCTCCTGCCTTGCATCTTTTTCAAGCCCTAGATTAATGCAAGCAAAGCAAAGAGTGTTGAGTGGTTGACATTTAATGAAATGATGTTTATTGTCTGGAGGAGTGCTTTATGATCATCTAATAGGGTGACAGATGTACTAAAAAAAGCCATGATAGACTGTGTGGATAAAAACATTGTTAGATCGTAGTACTCCAAAGGCAAGACTTGTCTTACCTGTCTGTAAATCATGCAGCACACTTTCAGTTCCATGTAAGCAGCAATGTTTTGTAGTAAACCCCAGATCCTTATTTTGATAAAGAGCATCCCTATTTTTACATATTGATTTATTTATTTTTTTACTGTCTGAAATAAAATATACAAGAGTAGATCCATTTTGAATAATTGAGGAATAAAAGTTTTAGAGAAAAGGAACACCCGATACCTGAGTGTTTCTGTCATGGAGAAGCGATGCTGAATGTGAGATGAATTCTCTTGATGTGGGGAAATCAGTGTTGTCCTTCATGGGATTGGATGCCGTGAAGGTGATCTGCTGTGCTTATATTCACATCCAGTTCTGTTTGTTTTTTTCTTTTCCTGCAGCAAAGAAAACTTGTGCTGAGTCGGATTTCGCTTGTGACAACGGCCACTGCATCCCAGATAGGTGGAAGTGTGACGGTGAAGAAGAATGTTCTGATGGGTCGGATGAATCAGAAGCAGCATGCAGTGAGTAGCACAGACAAGTGGTGTTTCTCAGACATGTCGTCTTGTCAAAGCATGGAGTGCTAAGAAACGGAAGGTGTTATTCTTAACACTCACAGGATGATGTTTAAACTTCAGCTTTTGTTGTAACAGAAATTAAACACACAAAAGATTCAGGTCATTTGAATCAGATGGCGTCCAAATGTTCCCGTATACCAGTTTTCCAGACAGTGATACGGATAGAACTATACAAGGTGTATTTCTGTCTGAAACAGGAAACATTTCTAGCACTATTGCAGTTTGCATAGTTTCAGGGCTCGTGATCAGCAGCGGTGCATTAAGATTCCTGATCAGTCTTCTCACAAAAGAGAAAGCTTTTAAGAAGCAGGAGTCCAAGGGGAATCAGAAGCTATTATTTAGCACTACACCCACAAGGTGTACTGTTGCTCCCCAGCTTCCTAGTGTGTGAGGCTGCACCAGCAATCATGTAAGGTCTGAATCAAGTACTATGAAATCTGTGTGCCTGGGGTCAGGCCTTTGCAAACTGCGATGTGCAGCATTTTGCATGGGGTAGCATCTTAGGATTCTTCACTGCAGACAGCACTTCTGTCACTACAGCTGAACTTTCCAATTCCTAGGGCATTGCTCAGTGTTATTATTTCTTATTTTAGTTTTTGCCTTGGAGAACAAGTGAAGAAAAACATAACAGACAAAAGATGAGCAGTGTAAAATGACTAAAGCTGAGAGTAAATATAACAGATGATCAGTACAGACAACACCTTTTAAAAATATATTGATAGAGTAAGTAAAAGGACATGCTTGATTTCCATAGTGCACATAATGTTTTCGCTGTTTGAGGACCTCTGTCCATGCTCTGTTAGCCCAGAACTGTGAAGGTCTGATGCTGAGTTGAAGGGAATCCCAAGAACACCGTAATGAAAACACTAGCTTGCTTACATCTGCAGATTTGTTCTTGGGCAGACCAAGAAACTTATACAAGCCATTCTATTGAATTTCCAGTCATGTACTTCACAAATATATTCCCATGAGTCAGAAACAGTGCTGGAGGAAGTGTTTTATTGGCACATAGAGGGCTTCACAAATAACCATGCTTTTATTTTTAATCCCAGTACCTGTTCTACCTTCTCCCTCCCTAATTAAGAAAGATAAATAAGCTTATCTTTTGCATAAAACAAATGGAATATTTTTTGCAGCCATATACTGGCTTCAGAAAAAACTTTAGTGACTGCATTCGCATATTTATGTACTACAAGTGTTGGTCTTTCACCCTGCATCCTCCTTAGTCAAAAGCTATCTTATTAATGCTCCTTCTGCTACCTGGTTGTGTGGAGGGGGGCTGCATAACTAAGCAGCTCCATTCCCTGGTGTTGCTGTCTGTAAATCCCTTGGCAGAGGGCATAGCATGGAGAGGGTACGGACCATGCAGCTCTTAGTTCCCTGGTGATTTTTCTTGATCATCTTCCGTTCCTCCCATTTCTCCCCACTTACATTATCTCTCTGGGGAAATCATCTTTAAAACTTAAGTATTGTAAAGGACACTTGACCTGAGCCTTTGATTGGTACAATATGGGGCTGCTGTCCTGAGAGGAAAGTCATTTGTTCAGTTTAGCGTGATTTTCTGCTTGAAACCTACTAAGAAACTGAAGTCTACGTTTCTGCAGTGGTTCTTCACTTCAGGTAGTATCAGGGAAATAATGGCCCTTGAAATGTCTCCCTGCTGTTAATGGGAGCAGGACAGTGTCACCTTGACACAGGCAGAAATCTGTTCCAGTTCTGCAGTGTGCTGTGACAGGTCAATCAGGAATTCATTGTGGAAGTGACAATGCCCATGTGGACTAATTCTTGACTTGGCCTTTTTTTATTTTTAGTACAAGAGTTTTGAAAACAGGTCAGAGACTGTGGCATGTAATTATGGCCTATAACTGCAGCATTTCTATTCACAGAAGATAACATCCATATCTATCAGTCAGGAAGGGTCTCTTGGCTTCCAGAGGCAATTTGCATGAGTGAGTGCTTTTCTCTGTTGAAACCAGAAACTTCTGATGCTCTAGCCCTCTCTGTTACGGGTAAAGTGTCCTCTTAGGACTTTGTTCTTGCGTATTTTTCACATCTGGATCAAGGTGGTCCTGAGCCACAATCCCAGTTTCCAACAACAGAAAATAAAGGTGACTTTTCATAGCAGGGCTTCCAGCACACATTGAACTGCTCTGATTCGTGCCTTTGTTGTACCGTGTAGCTGGCTGCATTGTTGGAGTGCCTGGTTAAGGCTAGTTTTAATTTTAATTCCGTGCTTTCTAATGTGTAGCTGTCTCAGCACAATATGTTTAACTTTTGTTACAAGTTTATGTGGTAGATGCAAGATCTTCATGTCTCAAAGTTTATAGGATGCTCAGTACAAGCTTATGCCTGACTTGCGGCTGGCTCTCTGGACAAGTTGATATTTCTTTCTATACCAGTTCAAAGCTTGCCTTCTAATCTTAAAAAAAAATCTGCAAGTAGAATTTTGGAACTTTACTTCTTTTATGGGATTATTCAGATTTGAGGTTCACACTTAATCAGATGAAGATCAAGTAGTTTTAATCCTATGGCTGTTGATAGCTATAGGCTTTAATTTGCATGGTAAGGCCATTCTTCCCAGATGTTTTGTATCCTTGTCAAACTATGTGTCATCTCAGAGGCTGATCTGATCTGCTCTTAAGGAACCAGAATCAGCCCGATGATGCATAAGCACTGTCCTGGTTGTGAGATTAATTCACATATGTTTGCAGCTCTTCCTGTTGCCACTCTACAAGGCAGCAGTGAACGATAAACCTGGCAGATTGTTAAACAAAAAACTGGAGCATGTTGCTTTATTTTTAGTGTATACCCCCAAAGTAAAAGCCCAAACTGTTTGTATGTGTAAATGCCATACCAGACAAGGAAAAAGCTGTAATTACAGACAGAAAATCTAGTGAGAGTCAGAGTGTATAGTGGGACGTTTTGTAAGACTTTTCCTAGAAGTTCTCTCCCAGCAGTCCTTGATGTTTTTTAAAGTTTATTTATTTTTTCCTCCATCTGGTGAGAAGTAACTGCAGGCCACTGTGACTGTCTCACTTTCCTGTGTGGAAATGCAGCACAGCCTTTGGAGGAGAATGCACTGTGGAGTTTCCCTAAAGAAGAGTTGGGATGGGAAATGGAGATTTCTCACCTCTGGCAAGATCAAACTACTTTATAAAATCAATTGCTTTCGGACAGGTCACATAATTACCAGCATCTCTGCCAGGTTCCAGAGCTTTTCCTCAATTAATGTAACACTGGGACATGGGCTATAGTCCATTTGAGATATGGAGGTACAGAGCATTGATAATGCTGAATGTTGCACTTGAGGAGTATTTCCAGCTTGGAAAGAGATCCACAGCACCTAGCCATATGCTAAATGGCTTTCTATTTTCTGAGTGCTTTTGTAGCTATTTTGTAAATACCTTGTGGGCTCTGATTAGGGATTAGGGATTCTATGTCCCTGTCTCTAGTGCTGAGTTAAAGATAAAAGGTTGTTGTAAAGAAACAAAAAAATCCCTACTTAGTTTGCTGCTGCTTCCCAGATCCCTGAAGCTGCTCAGCTTTGTACCTGGAGATATCCTCTCTCAAGATGTTACCCTTCCACAGGTTTTCAGGACAGTGTGACCTGTTTTGTGTCCATAGATAAGATGGCATTACAACTTGCCTGATTTTGTTCAAACTGTGGTGTCCAGGTTTTTTTCCTGCTATCCATGAAGTGCATTTTCTTCAAGCCACTGAATTTGGCAGAGAGCAGTGGCAGTAAGTGGCTATGGAGTTCCCAACTGATGGAACCTGTAGGGCTTCTCACTATTGTATCTGGCATGAGCTGAATTTAGAGAAGATGGTTGTTCAGGCTTCTGGTTTGAAAATGAGTTATTATGAAGAAGAAGCTGCTTATATTTCTTCTTTTCTTTGAGCTAGATCCTTGATCTAAAGATACTCTTACATCCACAGGTTTGTCCAAGAAAATTATTCATGTAGCAGGCAAATAGCACTGCTAAAGCTCAGTGTTCTGCCATCTGTCAGTTCTTCAGTGCTATTATTTGGCAGCTGAGTTTATTTGGTCTCATTTATTTTATATTAAAGTTTCCAAAATAAGCGTATCCCTCTTCTGTAAGCAGATCTTTTCAGGCAGATATTGTGGGCTGGAGCTGTTCTCTCTGAAGTAATCATCCGAAATAATGATGGAGGAAGGGGATTGTTTTATTTTGGCTTAGTTTGTTTATTGCATGGAAGTGGAATGAGCCCCTAAATCAGGGGAAGCAAAGCCACGCAAACTCAAAAATTAATGCTATCCACAGAGGGCAGGAAGGACAGAATGCACGATTTAAGAAGTTGGCTTGAACGAGGCTGGGGGAGGGAGGAGGAGGAGGAATGTAATGTTGAAGAGAAGAAAGTTATTTTGAGATACATACTTAATAAATGAGAAGAAATGGGATGGTGAGTGAGGTGGAACAAAGAAATGCTGTTTAGCTGTGCTGCATTGCAGTGCTGATGGAGAAGGGGAAGAGTTAATGCCACGGCATGTCACACTCCAGCCTCATCTTCCTTGACAAAGCCTTTTTAGGTTCAGGAGGTCTCTGTTCAGGAAAGGTTGGCTGCATGTATGTAAAACAAATGAACCACTTAGGCCTTGCAGGATGCCTGCTGGGAGGGCAGCCAGGGGAGATGCAGGCTTATCCTCTGTCTGACATGAGCCAGTGCTGCTGCTCTCTGCCTATGGGTGAGGCAAAACCTGCAGTGGATGCAAAACTGCCATCATTGGAAAGTGTTCTGAAACAATAATGGGTTTCATCTCTGTTGTGCCAGCTTGTATGCAATGAGCTTCCCACAAATCGTGAAAAAGGAGAACCGAATGTCGAGAAACAGTGGGAGCAGAGTTAATACTTCTGTCAGCCAGACACCCCTGATTCCCACGTACCTCACCAGAGTCAGTTTTGAGATACAGAAAATGTTTTTGACCT